CCCCCCCCCCCCACCCCCCTCCGTTTGACGACCATGCATACTAAAACGCCTGAGGAACTGCGTTGACCGACAGGACAGTAGCACACTCCTCTCCAGGCGGTTTCGTAGCAAGGAAGGGGAGTCAGACTGCCCACCAAACAGTTTGCGCCTCTTAAATCGCACGAGCCCGGTAGATTAAAGTGTTGTCGCTTAGGGGAGGAAAAAAATGGTTCCGGCAGTGGGCAGACAGCAATAGCGTGCAATATATACGTGTACGGCTGGAAGGCAAATTCGTAAGCCAACTCACTTGCAGCACAAAGGTAGTGATCCAAATCACCACAAACAGCATGTTCCGGTGAAGTCCGGAGAAGACATTCCGTTGGCCATGAATCTTGCGGGCATTCAGCTCGTTGAACAGCGTCATCAGCACAAAGGTGTTAAAGATGACAGTGAAGTGCTCGGTGGGCTTTTTTATCCCCTTGGCCGACAGACCGCGTCCGCTGTCCACGTCCAGAAGAACCTCACCTAGACGGAATCAAGGCGTGATTCACGTAGAAATAGTAAGTAGAGCCTGCATGAAAATGGGCTGGTATGTCAGCGGTAGAGAAACCATACAAATTATTTTGGTGTAAAAGAAGCCATTAGATGATCAAACATGAGAAACTTTAGGAAAAACAACCGGCAGACCAATGAATAATTAGCAAGTTCAGACTAAATTCATAACAGGACGAAACGGCGGCCACTAGGGGGTTCAGGTTTCGCGAGGAGGCGCTACGACACCTAGACGTATTAGCGACTTTCTAGAAATCGATATTTTAAGAGCAGATGGATCTCTATTAGTTTTCTCGAGACCTGTTTGCTATTTACGTTAACGCGGACACCATTTTGTACACCTATGGCAAATTTTACATTGTGACCAGGAGACAACGAAATACACAGAATTTTATGACGCCATTAAATTCTGCACATATTGTCGCCTTTGCCTTGCTCAAACTTATTCTGGGAAAACTATGTAAATAAATTATGAGGCGAAATCAAACGAAACTTAAGGATCGCAAATTAAGTGGCCAGCTTTCTTAGAACATGCGTTTCGTCGACGCGCCAAGTAGGTCTTTGGCGTGCTCTGAAGGTTATCTACATAAATTTTGTGGAAATAGAATGGGGGCGATCATAACACGCGAGGGACATTTTTAAACGACGGCAATCATCGAGTATGTAAGCTCGTGTTTTTATTACTATACAACGTCTGCTTATTTGATTTTGGTCGCCACGTTGTATTTGGGTTACGTTTCTGACTAAATTTAGGAAAATAACTAAGTCTAAAGTTCATGCCAGGGTTAGATTAAAGACTGGGGTTACCGTTAGGGCTGAGGTCAGAATGCATTTGTCTCCTGCATACCGGCTTGCCCAGTCCGGCTGTCTTTGACCAATGACCTTCGATTATATGTTTTTCATCTGTTTTTACGCTTTATTTTGCACCTTTCAAGTTGCGCGGTACGTTCCGACACCTCGCTGGAGCAATGAAACAAACATATGGCGAAGATGCGGGTTTTCTTGATGCTTCACACAAATTCCGTAAACTGTCAAGTCCACCTGACCCCCTGACAAATCTAATATTAGTATCCTTCCCGTATCACAGCAGTCCCTGGTCTCTATTTTCTAAATGGGCTTCCATATCCAATCCTCTTCCAAGTGATAATCGAACTTCGTTACTCGTTGACCGATGTCTCGATAGCACACTTGCCATATAATCTAAAAGGATCAAAGATAAGGATGGGACTGCAAAGACCATGCATGACTCAATCAACCGGTTGTCAGGGCTTGAAATTCGAATCAGGGCCTGTTGAAGATCGGCCAATTGAGTCAAAGGCCCCACCATCCTGGTTGCGGGACACCCGTCTTGTCGATTGTGATCGGATTTATTAAAACTTATAGGGGGGCGGGATCCAAAGACAAAGCGAAGTGGAGCGATCATGTTCAGTTCTGCAAAAGGATTGATCAAGAATCGCTCCCAGCATACGCAACTTGTAAGGCAATGACACACAAGGTGATGCAAAGAACCGTAAAAATGTATATGCTGAAAAAATGGTTCTCTATCGTTTGATTTAATGAGCGCCGTCATAAACTGACAACGTCCCCCCCCCTCAAACATTTCCATAATGGAATGAAAACACCCGCAGATTAGTAAGTGGTAGAAAGGGACCAACCTCCCCAGATCAGGTAAAAGACGACAGCCAACTGATAAAGCGATTGCCCAAGAATAACTTTAATCATTGCCCGTCCGATTATTGGTTTCGTCCGTCCGTAGGGCGCCCGCTCAAGAAGTTCTTCCGAGGGAATCTCGGTAGCAAGGGCCAGGGATGCCAATGTGTCCATTATCAAATTCACCCATAACATCTGGACAGCTTTAAGTGGACTGTCCTGAAAAGGAAAAAAAGCAAAGCTGAAGAAAAGTAAGGTGTAGAAAACCTGTTGTGTAAAAGTAGCCGATGACACGAAGCCTTAATATACGGCTTCAGAGGCAGCATAGAGGAGCCGAAATGCAGAGAGTCTGGGACCCACAGATGTGTCAAGATGGACTGTATTTTGCAGTTCAGGCTCATTTCTGGTCAACCGCCAGTTAGGCACCAACCCATGATTGGACAGGCCTGAAATATGAAGTCGGACCCCATTGGCCATAGACCTAAATTCTAAACTGAATATTGACTGCTGCCAGCTATATAGATACCTGTGAAGGCTCTAAACTGACAGGACTTGGCTATTTCGGCACGCATCGGCGGAGCGCACGAGACCTTATAACAGTAACTGGTCCCAGTGCACAAGGCTTGATTATGTTGACAAGATCGTGGTGCTGGAGAAGTCGTTTGCAAAACAATGTGGTGTGCTTAGCGTCAGACAGATGTCAAGGCACCTGAAATAGGCCCGAAAATAAACTTAATCGAATCAAAATAACTATTTCAGGCTTCGGTATTGGACATACAGTAGATGCGTTATGTCCTAAAATGTTAGCCAAGACTTTGAAAGATTTTCGGTTTGAAAAGATTACTCAAGTGGGTTGTGATATTAGTTATTGTGCAGCATAATCTAAAGATATGTCAGTCACACCAGGATGCTGACTTTTGAATGAGTTTCTTTTCAGCTGTCTGCAATAACTACACTGTAGAAAATGGCTATTTAAATAGCGTTCATTTTACCTACTAATGTTCGATGTTCTTACAATAACATGCACAAAAAAAATCTTTCCTGTACCCATTTGGCAGTCAATTACGGTTTCTTCAAACTTTCTGTTTGAGAAGGGGGCACGTTTTGGTTTTCAAAAAGTTTCTTATTATGATATTTTCATGGTCGTTAAATGTCAATGCATACAGCACCGAATCAACACGTTTATTAGTACCACTCATAAAGTATGCAACCTGGTCCACAACTGTAAAATTTAATGAGTCCTACATGACATCTTCCAAACAGCGCAGAGAGATGTGATATTCCTTTGACAGAATGTTTACAGCAACTTGATGGGCAGGTGCGACAAAAGAACTATTTGGGAATTAAAAGCTTTTATAAAAACAGAAAGAACCTCTCTCTTTAAATAGGGAATTCGAAAAAAATGTAACTTGCCATCAAATGAATGCATGGGAAAATATTTTGTTTTTCTATTTTCTATTTTTTTATTTCTATTTTCTATTTCTGTTTTTGTTTTTCTATTTTGTGTTTCCTATATAATATATTTGAATTTAAAAGGGCCTGAAAATAAATGGAAAAATGCACACCATTTAAGTAGTCATTTTTACAGAGTGTGGCTTTTGCAGACAGCCGAAAAGAAGCTCACTCAAAAGACGGAATACTGACGTGACGGAGATATCTTAGGATAGTTTATTTCACAAGTCTACCTAAGTAATCTTTCCAAATCGAAAATATATCTTGGAATTTCGGTTAACATTTCTTGTATATCTGCCCGGTCACGGTAGACGGCAAAGTTCTTGAGTCAACGGGCAGCTTCTGTGCCCTCAGATCAGATCTTCTGACGTCCAGGTTTGGCAAAACTGCAGTTGGTTCTCAAAGTAACGAACCGCGCGAGTATGAGGCTTACATCAAAGCAATCCTTCTGTCGGAATAGTCCTTCCGGTGACGGACGTAAAGAACAGCTATAACGTCGGCCAGGAACAGGACTGCAGCATAGGACATTAGCTGGTACACCCCCTTCCCCTCAGCAGTTTGGTGTATGACCGCCTTTCATGCCGGACTGTTGATGAAAGAGACCTAGATAGTGCTACAGAGATCTCAGTAGCATTCCGTTTCATTCCTGCCTATCTCCCGAAAATTGGTGTGCAGCACTTTCTTTATGATATCGGATACCTCTTACATTCTGAAGGTGCTGAATTCAGAGTTACTATATACCTTATGACAGGCATATGGCGCAAGTCTGGTTTTCTGTTTCGCTGCACAAAGTTAACCGTACCGCCCGTTGCTTAAGATGCCCCAGCGTAAAATCCCTTGTACTGCCATTTCCATATTAGGGGGGCGGTCTTGCATCAAAGTGCTGGGCCGAGGTACGTATATGTTTAACTTCCGACCGACTGTAGTCCTCTTATTCACCGCCTGCAATGAAGAAAAGTCGCAGGGGCTGTCACCCCCGCCGAGACCCACTCCGGCTGTTGACAGCGTTGATATGGTCAGCCGGAAACAGGACTGGATTTGATAAACGCAGCGCCCTGGCCCTGTGGCGTTTGTTTTGCAGGGCTGGTGCACCTACTGGTTTAGGTTCAAGTCGTCAGCCGACTGCAAAAGAAGGCGATCGCTCTCGATGTGATATACCGGCAACAGGGAATCGTATCACACACTCGTCCTAACTACGGGACACCTCCCCCCCCCTACCAGGCAGGAAGACCGACTTCTGCGCTTCCCAGTGAATCTGCAGGCCCAGTATCATTGCTGACTTGTGGGCACGGAGAGTCAACATCTGACTTTAAGAAATACTTTTAAGGAAACGCAGTTTGCATTTTAAAATGATGTGGCGTACAGGTAAATAACCATGACGCGATTTTGGCCACCTTATCACGCTGCAAAAGACTGCAATTCACTCTTGTCTAGACATATTTCATGACCGCAAGTTCACGAGGAGTACCAAAAGGTGATGGAAATGAAGATAGACGGATAAGCTATCTGCATCTGGTCTCGCTACATACACAAACAGAGAGGAGTAAGTCCCCGGGCTGGTACAGTCGAACTAAACCCTAAATATGAACTTGCAAGCAAGTACAGAGAGTGCCAGCCAATCATGAAAGAGAATTCCGATGCCGCCTATGAAAAATTAATCAACCCCGAGGGGGGCGAAAGGCAGCACTAGTTACAGCATCCAATGAATATACGCGAACGAAGACAATGAGGTAGATATGCACTTCAATTCGAAGTACTGTGTGCAAAATGCATTCTTCAGCACCTCCATTTACGTGAACATCGGGCGGAGGACAAGGACAAGGCTGAAATATTCATTGAGATTCAAAAAGGCGTTCAGTGGATGGCATCGGTAAGCACCGAGCGTTTCTTCAGGCTTCCTGATCGGTATATTAGCAAATGACAAAAACTAAGAACAACAATGAATTTTCTGGGTACCTAAACACGTAGAGATTAGCAGCTTTGTAAAAAAGACTTTCTCAAAAGCGCGCTGAGTGAGAGAGAGAGAGAGAGAGAGAGAAGCCATGTCACAAACTATAAGGAAGCTGTGTGAAAAACGTTGATTAGTTTGATCGGGGGGAGAGACAAGGGATGGGGATGAGGGGGAAAGAAGAAGACCGTGCAAACGATCAAATTGCATTCCCAGGTCTCATTATAAAAGTGGCATTCAGCAGGCCTGCTGTACCGATCATCCACATAGAATCAACTTTACATTTGCCGGTAAACTTACCGTTATGAAGCAGGCTCCAATGAATGCAACAATCACGGCGACGACATTGACAGTCAGCTGGAACTGCAGGAACTTTGCGATGGAATCGTAGACATTTCGACCCCACATCACCGCCTTCACGATGCTAGTGAAGTTGTCGTCTGTGAGGATGATATCCGAGGCCTCCTTGGCCACATCGGTGCCAGCAATGCCCATTGCAAAGCCGACATCAGCCTTCTTCAGAGCAGGACCGTCGTTGGTGCCGTCTCCAGTGACTGCAACCACTTCACGACCGCGAGTTACATGGCTGTCTATGATGCCCGAGACAAGGGTGTACTTGTCCTGCGGAGAAGAGCGGGCAAGAACTCGCAGGGAGGGCCAGACCTTATCTATCAGCTCCTGCTTCACTTTGCCCGTGTTCGGATCCCGAACAAGCTGGTTGAACGTTTTGCCTTCAAGGATAGTGTAATTGTCACCCTCGTGGATAATGCCACATTTCAGGGCGATGGAGCGTGCAGTGTTCAGATTGTCTCCGGTGACCATGCGTACGGTAATACCAGAGCGCTGGCACTTCCGGATGGCGGCTGGCACCTCTGGTCGCACTGGGTCCTCTATGCCCACAATACCCAAGCAAGTTAGATTGCAGATAAGTTGGTTCTCATCATCCAAATTGGGCATTTTTCCCTCCGGGAGTTCGAACTCATTTGAATCCTTTGGAGTGCCTGTACAAGGAGGGGGAAATATGTGGTCGGTATGGATCAGATTCTGCACCTTAAGCCTTCGCGCAGACTGGCAGAGAACACTATCTGTGCTATCTCAGGATGAGATCTTACAGAAATGCCGATGTTAGAAAAGTTTAACAGATTTTAGCTAATAGGGGGCCTCAAAGCAACCAGAATACATGATCTGATCTGCCTAAGCTCTCTTTACAGACGGAGTTCGACGTGAGTCATGGGTGTCGGGTTCGAGTTAGGTTTGGCCTTTGTATGCCTAATAGGGTCGATAAAATTGTCCAGTTAAACCGATAACTGCAAAAGACCCCCATATGTAGCCACCGATCAGCGAACAGTGTCAAAACTTATGTGTATCAAAAGCCTAGTCTCAGACGCCTTTATGGAGATAAAACTTTTCCAAAATTTTTGAATGACTGTCACAACGCCGCCACAACAATGATGCGAGGCGATTTAAGAGGGAACGAGCGGCCGGATAGAGGCACTGATCCATCGCCTTTGAAAGCTTGGGACGAAATGCTCACGGTAATTTCTCCTTCATTCATGCGAAACAACACTAGCGATGAAAGCTATTACTGTTCTTTTATGAAAATACCCGTTAAAAAGCTGATGCGCAATGGTCAGAGGGGGATTGTTCCTACCAAATTTACCTCAAACGAAGAGAAGAGGCCGCACTCTCCCTAAAAACGGTCTTACTGCTTGAGTTCAGATATGTTGGCTCGATTTGTGCGGTCACGAAAAACCCTATACCTTGCCAAACGAGCCAGACAAAGTCGTATCTTACCCTGATGAGCGAAGTTACAAGGGTCAATATTAGAGGGGTGACAGAGGACCAGACAAGCGAATTCAGCATTCAGTACGAACTTCAGACAACTCTATATGAGTGGATGTGCCAACTCACAACGCCTGTACTAGGTCAGCTGGCTCACAATACACATTGGCAGCGCATTTACCTCTTTCTCATCTATGCCAGGCCAGGGCGTAAGAACCGAAGTACAACCCAGCTTCGAGAACTTTGAAGCCCGTATACTTTATGCAGGCACTCGGACGCCGTACATCGCTCGATTCTTACTTTGCTTATATAAGTGAAGAGGAAGAGTCGAGCACCGGAACACTGTTTAGTGTCCTGAACTTTCAGACTCGTACAGGAGTCCATCGTCAGAGGTAGTGGCAGAAACAGAACTGGCGGCAGTTATAAGGCGTGTAGGCATAATCATCGATTGACGGCACAAGACTGGAGGTGACTACGCAGGGCTCTGTACGCCGGCGACAGATCAATAAGTCGATTGACCGGGTTCTCATCCGAGGCCCGGGCTTCAATCAATTCTCGGCCTGTTTTGTTTCCGGCGTGGGCGACTATTTCGATGGCTGCGAAGTTAAACTCGTGACCCATTTCGTAGGTGTGGGCGGCCACCTGTGGTAATGCGTCGCCACGTCACACAGCCAGCTTATGTTCGTGTATGCGCGATACGAGCATGCGCCCAGTCTGCCCTGTGTAGTTACAAGGACAATTTTGACCCGGAATGTGATACAATACTCCAGATTGCTCCTCAGGCTTTAACCGGTCTTTGATTTTCATGACCGTATTGCGCATGGTGGCTTTGGGGCGGTGCCCAATTCCAACACCTAGCTCCGCAACAATGTGCTCGGTCGCTTCTGAAACGTCCTTGATGTATGGCAGAGAATGCCATATAGTCGGTGGTGTTAAAGGTCGAGTCCTCTGGTGGCGACCGCGCAGGCAGCGACTTATGAATGCCCTCGGATAGCCGTTTTGCACAAACTGATCGCGGAGATAAGGGGCCTCACGTGCTCTGTCCTCCGTTTTGCTGCTTATGCATGTCATTGACAACTGCCTCGATTGTTCATCCAATAGCGCTTTCGAATCGTCGAGTTGGATCTTCTGAGGTCAGCCAGCATGGCATTCCGCGGGGAGTTTGTCCACTTACTGCGCGTTTTCAAAATCAGTGCCCGGCAATACGCTCAGTTAAAGAGTTTCCTCTGTGCATATGCTAGACAAACAATCGTAAGGCCTGTTCTGGGAATTATGCCCAGAGGATACTGTACATGCACTCTGAGAGGGGTAAAGAAGCAAAGATGTGACCAAGAGAATTGCTTCAGGCTTTTGTCAGCCAGTGGGGCTTACCCAATGGGTATGCAACACCCCTGATATTTCTTCATCAGTCAATTTTCGTCAGTGTAGGTCAGGCACTTGTCACATACAATTAGGCACAGGGCACAGAACAATCCGATCCCGAATGCGGGTACAGGAGATAGGAACGGACGACAACCTACCAGACCCTAAAGCAATCAAGCAATCATCAGCTGGAGCAAAGTACAGTGAGTGACCGATTTCATGAAATGTTGGCTGAAATTCTGAAATACGTTTTCGATTCGGAAGGATAACTTGGTCGCGGTTGTAATAATGATTATTGTGCGGCATAATCTTATAACAATTCCGACTCGGCAGGATTTAAGCTTTGGAATACTATGCTTCCCAATCTCCTGTAGAAACCGTACTGGGAATAAAATAACTACCTATGTAGCAGGCATTTCTCCCCTCGATTTTTAATGGTCTTTCAAATTCAAATATATCTTATAGAAACCATAAACAAAAATAGGCTCTCTTACAGTCGATTAAGAGAGAATAACGTCCTCTTTATATTTTATACTCAAGGAAGGAGTATAACTAGGTTTTGAAAAAGTTTTCTAATTGCCCAATAATTTATAGCCTAATCATTCGTTACATTAGCGCTTAGTGATTTCAGTCTACAAGGTGCATGTGTTCCGCGTAAAGAACATTACATATTTTTCCTTGCCATTAAAAAGATATCATACAGAGTCCATAAAATTTTGCAAAGGATGCGGACTATGGTGTAAATTTCATGAGGAGCTGTGGTAAACGGCCAGGTACAATGCTATGCCAATAGGCATTGAGCGCTCTTAAAAAATCTCATGATTCGAAACTTTTTCAAAACCTGATTATACTCCTTCCTTGAGTATAGAATATAAGGAAAACGCAGTTCTCTATAGCATACCGAGTAAGGTTTCTACAGGAGAGTAAAAAGCATAATATTCAAAAACTGACATCCTGCCGAGTGCGAAACGTTATAAGATTATGCCACACATTAGGCAGTATTACAACTGCGACCAAGTAATCTTTCCTAATCGAAAACGCATCTCTGAATTTCAGCCAACATTTCCTGAGATCGGTCACTCACTGTAAATTGATCTATTCCAAACAGATGAGTGTACATTTAGTATCCTCAACTAGACTACCTGGAGAGATCGGTGATGATTAATGACACCCACCGTTACGCCAGCGGAAAACTTGTTGAAGCTTCATTCATTACTGCCGCTATTGTAACCAAAAGTCTCTATGAAAACAGTAGCCTGTGTAACAGCTAGCGCCGTGTACCGCAGAGATGGGAACTGTCCAGAAATGCTTTCAGACTTACCCGGTGCGATGTAGTTTTTGTAGGCAAGAGCGATTGTACGCAGACCGTCTGAGGCCATGGGTTCAATCACAGTGCTTATGAGGTTCTCCTGATCTGCCTGCGTGAAGGGTTGGGGTTGACCGTTGCCATCGAGGATGAAGGAGCATCTAAATATTGACAAACACACAGTGGCACAGTTGACTGAAAGCAATCAGGTCAGCTGGATGAGGAGGGCCTGAAAAAGTCTCTTTTTTATAAACAACTGACTCCATATGGTAGTCGAAAAGGAGAGCACACAAATACGAGGTATGTGTAAAACTCTGGGTGGTTGAGATGGAGCCAGTGCCGAGACGGAATTTACGTAGCAAAGATGGGTAGTTGGACAGAGAGGAGCTTTTAGAAACAAAGTGGGAGGGGCAGAGAGCAGACGAAGAAAGAATTCAGCTCAAAGAATTTAAGATGGGCGAGGAAGTAAATGCAGACAAGTGGCGTTAGCGATGGAAAAATAAGCCTTGTAATTAACAGAAGAGTGTTAGAAAGGCTCTTGAAATACTCGGCAGTAACAGTTTATCCATAGCAAGCGGTACTTTTTCCGTCGTTCTCAGTGAGGGACAGCACTAAAACGATGGTTTAGTGGAGACCTGTACGTGTGCGAAAACAGTAGATGTGCATTCAGTCCGATCGGCCCTACCTGCAGCAAGGCCTCGAAAGGTTATAGTCTAGCTCAGACGGTGTATGATCGAGAATGGGCAAAGAACATATGCACTTTTCTCCGCTTCCAAAAAAGACGGAGTCACCCGAATCAGAAAATTCAGCTAAACCGCGGTTGCACCACACATCAGAAATGAACGAATGCAGGGAATTGGGAGTAGTGGTGGTGGTGGT